AAATTCAAATTCGATTGTTAGCCAATTACCAAATGAAGCATATCATTGGCTATTATTCATTCGCATATCTAAATGTAAATAATGCGAATGTTAGAAGTTGATGGTGTCGTGTTCAATTAATAGTGTTATGGTAAACTAGCTTTAACCCGCGGCTTCGCTCGCGAATATCTAAAATAATGAAGTTGTTTCCGTACGCGTCTGTAGTCACAGAAGAAGAAACAATGAAGTAGAATGGCGGGAAGTTTAAAATGGCTGAAAGTATAGTCTATGGAAGTATAGTGTACAGTCTCCATAGTGTAGTCAATTGGATTTGATGTTGACGTAGCTGTCGGTAATACAGTGTGATAATACAGTGTGATGGTACTATAGTACTTAGGTTTGAGCTTCATTGCTTGAATGCTAGATGGCGTTAAAGTAGTCAAATAGCCAGATGCAGAGGTATTATTGACTAAACAATTTCTTTATTTTATTTTTAAAATATTATTTTTTATTAAATAAAAAGTAGCCTATAACCATTCGGGGACCACTAAGAATATGTGTACAAATTTTCATGATGATCGGTTAAGTAGTTTTTGCGTCAAAGTGTAACAAACATCAGGACTTTCGCATTTATAATATTAGTAGGGATGTTAAAAATTGCAAGCAAATTCAAAACCGCAAACAAATGAAAAGAAATGAAAAGAAACTAAATGCATGATTTTACTTGCTGGCGGCGGGAGAATTGTGAACTAGCTCTGGATGAGAGAAAGAAGAAGAAGCCCTCGAAACAAAAGCACTAATTGTCTTCGCGTGCCTCCTGCACATACAATTCGCATGTCACGGTCATGGCCATCAGCAATCAGCAATCCCACCTACTCTGGTTTAAAATGAAAATATTTAAATCTTTGGCTGGGTATTAATTATTACACGCGAAAAATGAAAGCGTAGTGAATATGTAGGTACATTGTTCTAGATTTGTGTTTTATGTGTTTTTTTTACGGCCTGAGTTGGATGTTTAAATTGTCGGTTTCTAAGCTCGGGGATGTTCAACTCGCGACGTGCCATTATCGTGCATTATCCAGCGCCGTTCTCTATTATTGCCCTGCTGCTCGTGCATTCCGGGCGTGTTCGTCGTCGAGTGGCACTTGAAAGGAAGAAGAAACGCGCAATTATCTATCGTGGTCGGCTTGCAACTCCCTCGGCGCGCAATCGCGTCTTGAGTTGAAACTTCAAGGCTTTGGGTTTTTGCATTTTGTGTTTTACTATTGGACAAAATTGTTATTTTAGTTTATTTTGTTTATATTTTAATTTACATCGAAATATTGTGAATTTTTGAGACATTTAGCATACCGTGACTAAAACCCGTGATTAAAGTACTTTAACCACAGCCTAAAGCCAGAAATTTGTTTAGGTATTGTACAATTTAACTTTACAATTAGTTACTGTCGATTGTGATCAGTTGTTATCAATTCACACACATCGATGGCTTCCTCTTTGCCTGGTTTAACATCCCTAGTTATATCAAGGGGATGAAACATTTGATGAATGATGACTCAGCTGGGGTCTTTCCAATTTGGAATTTTCCTTTTTGCCGCAGAAAATCTTTGATGTCCATGTGACAAGTCCATGCTTTTTTCTATTTGCCATATACTGGTTAGTCATACATTACACAACACTCTACACGTGACATCACACATCACACATCAGCCTGATGAAAACGAAGGGTCACCAAAGAATAGTCCATTCTTCCACAGGAGAACAAATGAAACGCCCTCGATTTTTAAGCTTCCTGCACTCATGCACTCTTGAGGGGCTTAACAGAGGGCGTTCGATGCTTGTCAGTGTTTTATTTTACTTTTGTGGGGTTTCCATGCGTTTTCATTATTTTTCTTGTGTTTCGGTGAGTTTTCATTAATTTAGGGCATAGTATGGCTTCATTTGATTTTACGACACTTCATTAATTTTCCAACTTTAGATTTCTATGTAGAATAAAAGCCGTAGGTAATAACAGTAAACATTAATCTGCGAAATGAAAATAAAGACGCGTCCATTGGGAGTTGTTCGGAATTAGGTCTCGTTTGAACTCTGGGAAAATGGAAAGTTCACTTTCGCGATGGAATGACTCATCGCTCATAAACGCATGCACACACATTCACACCATAGAATATTCTATTGAGTATATTCCTTACCTACATTAATTTGTGGCACACTGTAACAAACCAAGCCTATAAAATCATTCCTAATGACCTATAATAGATCGTTTCATTATAAAACAAAAACGCATACAATTCTTCGTTTTCGTCTCTCGATGGCACACCTTTGCAGACTGTTGTGATCAGCAGTCACATTTAATATATCTGCGATTGATATATTTACTCACTACTACTAGTACTAGGTTGTACTCGATTCGAGTATTATGTGATCACTGGCATTGTTTCTTTTTGATTTAGAGCGGTTTTGATTCGGTGAATCAGGCGGTTTGTTGTTTGTTATTGTCGATGGTGTGCACGGCGCAGTTTCTGTTTATGGAGAGACGGTTTTTATGGCGCGAGTTGTTAATGCGCATAATTGAGTCGACACCCACCTGTTGTCAATTTTGACAGGCCCAGAATATTCCGATATACCTACATATCTTACAATAAAATAATCAAAAAATAATTAAATTAATATAAAATTGTGTTTTTCTACTTCTACCCAATTTTCCATAGTTTTGAGACACAAAAAGTGGTACTTTATGCATGGATAGCCAAGGCCGTGACTAAAGTACTTAACACACGGGTTTTAGTCACGGGTGTAGTTTGCGCCTACAGTGTAGCACAAGTAGAAGTAAAAGTAGAAATAATAGCATTAGCAAAACGTGGCTAAACGTTATTAAACACTTGATTCATTAAACTCGTGACAAAACCTGAATTTTTAATCTAACTGAAGGCTAATTTTGTTTCCCGAATAATTATTTCGTAGCAAGTGTGGTAAAATGCATTTAATCCATGAATAAAAGATGATAATAAAATAATTCAGATTTCTAGACGCTGCCAACCGAGACGACACTTACCTCATTACATTATTGCATTATTGCGTTATTATATTATTAAATCAGATTAAAATTACGATAATGATGCGCGAACGAAAGCGTGAATGCGGCTGCCAGGCAGACGGAATACATTCGAATACATTTTATGCACTTTATGCGCATTGCACTTCTTGCAACTCATGCGACCGATATAGTTAACACTCGGTGTACATTTACATTTATATATTTACCGCACTTAACTTTTTTATTTTTTATTTCCATGCTGAAATACTGATACATATTTAATGTATCGGATGAAAAAGTGAAAAATAAATATAAAAATAAAAATCAAATGTGAATGCAACAATGTACTTAGCGTCGACGCTGTGAGTGTGGTTGAGGAGTTGAGTACTAAAATGCTCTATAAATATGCAAATTGTAATTTATATCAAGTCTTAGCACAATCTCGAGGGATTACATTTATTAATTGGTCTTCTTCCTTCTTAGCCGATACGGTATTTTTTATGATTATTATTATTAACATTAAATACGTTCGTATGCTAGGTATACATGTACGTGTACTTAAAACACATTTTAAAGGTTTTGTTGACCTTGGTATTTCTTTGGCCTGTGTTTTGCTGTAATCAAAATGCAATCGCGTGTTTTAATTCTTTTGTACGTTGTTTTTTTTTCTTTTTTTGTTGACATTTTACTTTGAATTCTTGCTTGGAAAAATTCTTGCGTATAATTTCGTATTAGTAGGTATTTGCAAAGGTTTTAAGTCCACGTGGACTTTTGTCAACCTTTGGCCAACCTTTTACGCCTTGCAGTTTCTGCTTTATTTAAGACTTTTTCCGCCAAGTTTTCCGGGGGACTTTTGCGCATTGTGCACACACTTTACAAGGAATGATTTTGGTACAATGTGTCAGAACGCGCAAAAAGTATCGATTTGACCTGGATGGAAGAAAATTTAAATGTTAACGGCTGCGACAAAATTTTATGATGTGTAAAATATAATTTTTTCTACTACTACCATTAAATCGTCTGTTTTCCACGGTTTTGAGACACAAAAAGTGGTATTTTAAATATTTACGGCCAAAAGTACTTTAGTCACGGGTTTTAGTTACGGGGTGGAATTTGCGCTTGCGCATTTGCCTACGGTGCAGCACAAGACGTGGAACTAGAGTGGAAGTAGAAAAAATAGCATAATCATCACGTGGCTAAACATTATTATTCACTCGATTGATTAAACGTTCCTTCATTATATATTTGTTAAACGTCTAGTTACATAAAAACGTTTTTTGTGTTTTTAATTTTGTTTGCCTTGTGATTAAATTACTTCTACATCGTTTTTTGTGCTGGCGACGTTTTGCTCAGCAGGAAATCCAATTTGTTCGCAAGTTGACATCGCGCCGAAACGCAATAAGCGTGTTTAATGTACCTACGCGTAGAAAGAAACAACGTGATGCGGGCGAAAGAGAGCGGCCAGGTTTTAAGGGCACGCACGACGACACGTTTAATTTAATTAAAGCCAATTAGCAGCCTCGAGCTGAACTTGATTACGCTTGTAATCACTTGGAATCTCTCCAGTTTGTCGCGCACTTGCGGAAAATTGCCTACAGTGTTTAAGACAGCGCAAATAAACAAAAACACGCGCGTAGCATGCGTTGAAATTAAAAATTATGCTACAGCTACAGCGAGAACGTGCAGAAAACTTAATGACTATAATAAACCCTAAAGTTGAAGTGCCCTGCAGGTTCTGAGGTTGATTTTATGTTTTTGTTTTTATTTTGAACTTAAACTTGAAAACATTGCGAACACGTTCAGTTCAAATGTGCCGTAATACACGCAATCGTGCAGTACGAATGCGTAAATATATCTTCGGGTCGAGTTAATCATATACTCTGTATGAAATATTAAGAAAATCAAAGCAAAATACCGATCGGTAAAAAAGATTTCTTCTTTTTTTAATTCAAAATAATTTTTTTTAAACTAATTTTTTTTATTTCAGGGCTGTACAAAACGATACAAATCACACGAATCTCATCGTGGAAGAAAAACCCCGTCTGGGTAACAATGCAAGCATCCGCCATCAAGTGCACCCCGTCTGTGACGAAAAGGCACAGCTGCTGGCGGCGTACGACCACCAGCATCACACGAACGCCATCAACAATCGTGAAAACAAGGAGATGCATCAGAAGCGCGAGAGCAAGCGCTCGCCGTCGCCAGAGTCGAACGCCAGCCCGCCCCCGTATCCGAAACGCGCGAGTCTCGAGTCGGGGACGGCGACAAGCCCTACCTACCCTCTAGCGCCGAATATCTGCGTCGAGGGTGGTCGCATTGAGTTCATCAAGCTGAGTCCAGAGGGCGACGCGTATCCACTCACGTTGGCGCAGCAGAATGAAAAGGTGGAGGGGAAACATGCTTGTGGAAACTGCCGGCAGGTGGCGCCGCCTGTACCAAGTCCTAGAATTACCATCACTCGGGGGATGCAGACTGATTTCGAGACTGATGGCGAGGAAAATCAATTGGCAACTGTAAGTAATTTAAAAATATTTTTGAAGAATTTATTTTTGAAATTTACGCGTTATTTACTTACATCTTATTAAATACGCTTGGTAGCAACATAAATCATCCCTCGAATGACTTTCAGCTTCCTGCACCGCCCCTGACCTTCCCTTATCTCTTTAGAGAGAAAGTCTCGGTGGTCGGCGCGACGTGCTCGCCATGACAAACATGACAAATTCGTTTTTTATCATTTTACCTCCTCTCCCTCCACACAACTGCAGACTGTATTATTGTCTCTGTGGGGAGGGTATAGCCGCCTCCCGCTCATGACTATGACTACAAGCCACAGGGGAGGCTGGTGATACACACGACACGGCATGGGGGTAAACGGGGGATGAATATAGTGGATGCGGGTCGGAGTAGGTGTAGCCGCGCGCACTTCTGAGCTTCCTGTGTTAGACCAGAGCTAGTTTATTTCATTCTGGTGAGTGCGGTTTGGTTTCACTTTGGTTGGGCGCGCAAAAAAGCGATTTGGGCGCTAAGGGTGGCGTCGAGCGGCGAAGGGTAGTTGTGGAAATGTCTTTTGAGAGTATTGAGAGTATTAGCGTTGAGTGCGTGCGGCCTGTGTCTGTGGAAAAACCAAAAAGGCATTGGATTGGAGTAAATCTGTTTAAATATACAATGTGTTCATAGAAAAAAATTCATTTTTATTTCTTTTGATTTTTTTTTGATGAAAATTATGTTTTCCGAGTTAAATTTTATGATATTTGGTTAGGTGGGGATATGAAACACCCTGTATATAATTTTCAAGTGTCTTTAACTTTTTTCCCTGAGGTTATGCGACGGCATTATCCTCATGATTCGCTTTTATCTGTACGTAATGGGGCATAAGTCCGGTTTGCCCGCTTGTTTCTCGCCCTTCGAGTTTTTTTCCCCTGCCGCCCCTTGGACGCGTGCAACTGATGTCCAACTCGTGTGCAATGCGATATGACGTGCCAGCCTATAAAAACAGACAAGAATAACATGCGTCCATCGAGTTTTTGTGTATTTTATATTATATCAGGGGTTGAATCCTGTCTAGGACACATGCAGGACATTCAGATCTTCAGCGAACAGTGGTCATCACATGCAGGAATATTTTTCACAAAGAAATCTAATCATTTGAAGGATTGGTTAATTAATTATTTTTAGGGTTTTATGTTTATTTGTACTTGGTTGGTTTAGAATTGAATTTTCATATATTTGTTTGTTTGGATGTAAGCGAGTATTAGCAGGACTTGTTGGCTTGCATTGGGGGTGAATTAGGGGATGAATTCTGGGGGACATTTCCGGAAAATATGGGGACGTGTGGGGCGCGATGTATGAGGGTACTGCGGTAGTTAGGAGCTCGGTGTGATATTGACGTAGGCAAAAAAGGGAGGACCACCACGGTCGCCGCCGCCGCCACCGCAGGTTTTGGCAATGCAATGGTGGTAGAGGCGGCGGCGGACGGCTCATTCATGCAGTAGATATCGGTAGTTTATTGCTCGGCCGTGCCCTCGCATTCTAATCACGGCGAAAGGCACACGAATATTCGGGAAATCCACCTAGTCATTGGGAAACTAATGAAAACTAGGATTTTGTATTTGACATTTTGGTTTTAATTATTTTAAGTCAAAAAAATTTTGGTTTTAGTGTCGAGGTCTGAAGAAAAAATGTGATTTTGTTTTATTTATGAAAAATTTGATGGAGATACTTATTTTACTTATTTTTTTTCATTTTTATTTAAAGAAAAAATATATATTGTTAAACCTCTTTTAATCAATGTCAACCCTCCAATGTCATTGTTCTATTATTGTTTGTTATTCTGTTAAATTCTTTCAAATTCAAAGCCGAAAAGTGCGTAACCGCGTCGTGTCCAAGCCGCCATGGCAGCCGCTGTTTAGTTGTTTAGAAATACGTGCCTCCCCTTTGCGTATTCCTGTTGCGGCCGCGTGTTGTGCTCCCTGTTGTTTCCCCCAGCTGCGTTCGGGCGCATGGAAGCCCTATTGCACGAGGGTCGCGCGCTTTTACTGCGCTCGAATAAATTGCATTAATGCGCAACTTGTATGCATTCGTCCACTGCCCAACCGCCCCCCACCGGCGGACCAGCTTACAGGCATTAAATAATTAATTAAATAAATGCTAATTTAATTGATCTACGGGTATATTTTTGGAAAATAAACAAAACAAAATTAAAATCAAACATTTTTTTTTTTTGAAGTTTTTAAAGGTTATGTTTGTGTTTTGTGCTGATAACACACAACAATGGATTTTCTTTAAATCTATTTAAACTTATAAAACTTCTTTAAGCTTATTTTAAGTCTTTTGACGATAAACCATGAAGACAGGTTGAGAAAACGTTGGGAAAGCCTGCAAATCGCAGGAAAACCTACGGAAACTTACGGGAAATGCTTAGATGCACTGCGCTAGCAGGAAAACGAAGTTGTCGAAGCGTTAAATGTACTTTCACTAGTTTCATTCACTCCTGCTGTCCTCTTGAATTTTCCTACCTTAAAATTTCGTCTCCCTCTGCGCATTTCTTCTCTTGCCTACTGGATTAGTCCTTAGCCTCAGTTTCACCCTCTTTTCTTGCTCTCCGAGGACTGTTACATTCTATTACAGATAGCAGTCGACAGTAGACAGGGGTAGAAGATATTAGGGCTGTGTTGATAGTAGCAGCACCTGGCCTAGAGGATTAAAACTAGAATCGGGAAAATGACCGTGTGAAATGAGTAAAAATAAAGTAGTTTCCAACGGCGATTATTCTCACATTTTCTCAAGTTTCCTTGGGTTTTCTTTTCGTGTGTGAAAGTGACGGGCTGACGAGGTCGTTATCAACGTGACGCACAGATTTCGTGAACCTTCTCAAGCTCGTTGTCCTCATTTTCCGACGATTTTCAGACTTTTTTCCGGTTGTTGCACGCTCTAGTCATTATCACCCATTGCGACGCAACTTCGTTAGGTGCTATTGTTAACTGTAGTGATTTTATTTTAAACACACTCACAGAAGAGAAAAAATCAATGTTTTTTTGTTGCAGGAGGTTTTGGAGAGTAAAATTTGTGAGCTGGAGGCTTCGATTCTGCAGATGCAGAAGACCGAACGACGTGATAAGCAAGAGATTGCGAAACTACAGAAGCAACTGTCAAAGGTAAGCGATTATTATTTTTTTAATGTGAATTAATGTTTGAAACAAATTCATCCTTGGTTTTAAACATGTTTAGTCAGTTTTTAACGTTTGGTTTTAAGCAAAAGGGGATGAAATGAAAGAAAAACGTTTAAATGCTTGAATTCGCAGAGGAACGTCTTTCGAGTTTTTTGTCTCTGGGGAAATTCATCCCTCTTTCGTCTAATATGTCTTCCTATCCAGTAGGAGGAATCTCTTGTTTTGTTTCTTTCGTTCACCCTCGTTGCTAGCTGCTTGATTTTCGCAAATCTTTTCATTTTCTTTAAGATTCCATTCAATTGGATTCCTAATGCAAATATAAATACTAAATTGCGATTCATTTGTATCTTCGATTTACAATCGTTCAGAGGGTTTTACATATATATTTGAACATTTCAATCATTCTTCAAGTGAAAAGCATGAAATTATTTTCTTTAAGCGAAAATTTAAAGTTTTATTTTTTTTTTTTTTTTCATTTGACACCCTGTATATTATTAAAATGGTGATTATAGAAGTGTTAGACTTTATGTCTGCTCCTTCTCCTTGCCAATTTAAAAGTTCATTAATAATCGGTGAAAATAATCAAAGAGTTTTTTGTTTCTTTTCTGGAAGGTTTTTCTTTTTGTTCTTGCGTTCCGCGTGGTTTAACTGGGGAGTCTTGTGGCGCTGGCGGCTTCTTAATTGGAAAGTTATATTTCTGCGGCGAAAATACCGCCCCCACGCCAGGAATTCGTCTCCTTTTTGGCCGTTTTTGTCCTTTCAACTTTGCAGCCTTGCAATTAATGAAGAGAAACGAGCCGCGAAAGGGCGGAAAACTTGCGCCGCTCTCGCGAAGACGCAAAATCACAAAGAACGTGCATTTTCCGAGTCACAAAGGAACAAGTTGCTCGAATGCAAAATTTTCCTCCATAGATTCTATATGTATCAAAAAAGAAAAAAAATTATTTGCATTTTTTTAATAATCAAAATTGCTTGCGATAAAAAAAATGAAATTAAAAGGAAACGTATAAAAATATTCAATTAAATTTCGATCAATGCAAGAAAAGACTTTATTTTATAGGATGAGTATTTCCATAGAAATGGAAAACTCTTAAAAGAGTTTGAATGCAACAGAAAAAAGTCTTTGACTGTTTGTAGAAGTTTGTTGAGTTTGCAGGACAAACTTGGTAAACAATCGTTTTTTCAATTGATTAAGTTTTCTTTGTCTGATTTTTCTTCTGCTTTCTATTCAGTTTAAAGTTGTCTAATCGATACGCAAACTTTTCAAACGGTTGAAACTTTTTTATTCTTTTATTTTGCTCTGTTTTCTTCATTTTCCTTTAAATTTTATTCCTCTATTGATTTTTCATGTAAATTTTTATGGCATTTGTAACCCTCTTGTATTTTTTAATTGGCAATTAGTTAATTGCATGCATAATCCCTAATTTATTCAGTTTTATTACCGGTTGATATTACAGTGTGGATAATTGTCTCGTTTTAAAGCAATTTTGTCTTCATCATTGGTGTTTAAGCAATAGCTTTGTGCAAAAAATTGAATTTTATTGTTGCATTGAATACAATCCATTCGGAAATCCGCTAGAGTGTTTTTTCTGTGAGAATGAGCGTTTTTGTTAGCAGGAAATCAAAACAAGGAGGAAACGCGCTCGCTTGGCGATAGATTGGCGAGCGGCCAAATTTTGTGCCATCGCCATTTTCACAGTGCTAGTTTTGTCATTTTATCAGCGCGCAAGTTTTCCTATTTGTAATAAAAATGTATAACTTTTGGATTTACTTCCAACTGCACACAGTCATAGGAATGTTTTTGAAACAAAGGACTAGGAATAACGATAAACACAAAAAACACATCGGAATTTATTCAGTTCTTTAGGATATTTGCTTTTTTAGAGATTTTATGTTGTTTTGTAGGATTATATGCGTATATTTTTTAAAATTATGATTTGCGCATGCGCAAGCCCCACCCCGTAAATAATACCCGTGACTAAAGTATTTTTCTCACTTTTTGGTTGTTTTTGTGTTTAAAAACCGTGGAAAAACTTGCTTAAAACATGAAAATAGAAAAAATTATTATTCTGGCTTTTAGTAAATTACAACATTAAACTTTACCAAAAATCGATCAATCATATTCTTATTACGATAGACACTTCACACTATAAATAATAAATTAGTTCCTCGCAAGCAGAAGCAAAGAACGAAAACATTTGCTTTTCCTGCTTTTCTTTCATCTATTTGTACATCTCCCAAGGATGTCGTTGCATGTGCATTCGCGGCACGTGCAGCCGTTTGCGCTCGATTGCTTCGTCGTCGCCGCGCGTCGTCGGCGGCGTCGGCGCCGTTATCCCGCCACCGATCGTAAATCATTTCTTGTTTGGCGATATCGTCGCTGCTCGTTTATATCTATCGGCGTGCCATCCGACGCCACCTCGTCTTGGTAATGCGCATTCATCACCTCGACGCGCGCACACAATATCAGCGGCAGGACGTCGGCAGGACCTTTTCGATCCGCACCGAATTCTTCGTGCGTTTTTCCCTTACTTTGTGAAATATGAGTATAACGGCTAGAAACTGACAAAACATTACTAAACATGACAAAAAACACAGCACGAAATCATTCAAAAGGATATTTATCGAGGGCATTTTAAAGCTTTATATTTAGTCCCTACAAAATTATTCCAATCTCTTCTTTTCTTTTCGTCGGTATTATGAGTAATTTTTTTTCTTAGGAAAATGATGTTTGGGGAATTTTTGGAAGATTTGTTATTCTTTGGCTTTTAGTCGATGATACTTTGTTTTTCACCCAGTTTTTCTTGTTGTTATGGGTTTCCCACAGTTTGTGCGTGAAATGAAGCGTAATCGATGATAAATAAATATCAGGACTGCGTGTATCGCGCATTCATCATGCATTTCGCCGCCTCCATTCGCCACAGGGGGTGATTTTCTTCTTGTATATGTGTGTGGGAATTTGAAGCGAGCGATATATCAGTAGCTGGCGCCTCAGAAACTACCCGAAATTGTTGTGATGCTGGTGCGTTATTAGGGCGGATGCTTATTTACGTCTTGTCAGTTTTATTTATTACTGGCAACGCCCTGTAACAAATAAAAACAAAAATAATGAAAATAGAAATAAATAATATCTTTATTACTCTCGTATTAAATTATTAGTAGTGTTATAATAGTATATTAAGTATCAAGTGGTTTAAGGGGGGACTTTACTCACGAGATTGATTAATGGAGTGTTTAACAACGTTTAGCCACATGATGCTTACGCTATTTTTTCTACTTCCACTCAAGTTTTACGTTGAGTTTTTTATTTCAATTTTTTGTTTTAAATCATCGAAATTTGCTCGCACACTACTACAAAATGTAGGGTTATAAATACCATACTGCGCGCTTGGTCATGTGACGCGTCGGGCCATAACGCGCCGTTCCGACACGAGCAATAGCAGCGCCTGCTTTGACGTGTTTGACTGACGTCGCATGGCATTTCATATGGTTTTGTGCTGCTCCGTAGGCAAATGCGCAGACGCAAGCTCCGTCCCGTAAATAATACCCGTAGATAATGGATATTACTCACGGCTTGACCATCCGTATATAAAATATCACATTTTGTGTCTAAAAACCTTGGAAAAACTGGGTGGAAGTTAAAAATCATATAATTAACCAAAAAATTAATATTCACCATGTAAAAATTATATATTAGTGTGTTTTATGTATAATTTTACATTTTTCGTTCATTTTGAAAGTTTTTAATGTCTGGGCATATTTTAAATTTAAAAATATCAGTGCCTTCCGCCTGCAACGTTATACCCCTTGGTAAATGCGAATGAAATGTCCCGAAAAGCGCATAAATGCACGCGGCGGCGGGTCGTTAATGCCGCTACAACGGGTTGATGCATGCGAAACGGGCCTGCAGAATGACGCCAGTGCCAGTGCAAACTGCAACCTGCACGGGGTGTGTATGTGCGTGCCAGACAGTGCGGCAGAGGATTTGCGGGTCGGCGCGTCTTTTAATTACCGCAACGCGTTTTAGCCCGCTTTTCGCCATTAGCAGCAACATCAAACCCTGAACAACAACACCACCAGACACATCATGTTTACGCCGACTGACGCAGGTGCATGCGGATATTTCCATGTTGCAGTTTTTAAATTTTAAATTTAAAACATTTTTGAGACGATTTGCATTAATCATAACTAATGACTTCATCTCATCACACCATGACATAGATGATTATCAATCAACCCTCATATGATAATTTGTTCCCTAGAACGACCATGACGTATTATATTAGCTGCTCAGTGGAAAGTTTCAATTAGAATAGAAAATTTTCTGTTGATAAATTTCATAATTGCTATCAATCTTCATCAAGCTGCCTGCTATACAGAGTAGAGTGTATTCGTATGAGGATGAGGATGAGGAGAAGGATGACTAAGCGCCGTTAAACTTATTAAATCCAGCAATTAATATTCATCAAGAAAATGCAGCGGCACGCATACAACCCAAACATGAACACGTAAAGCAGATTATTATCACTGACTGCCTCGCAGAATCTCCTCGGATAGTTGTAGTGGAGATGTGCTTATATGAGTCGGAAGGGGTGGATATGGGTATGGGTATTAAGGGGATGATAGGTATGTTGATGTAGTCAAAATTTAGTTGTTTTGCTTTCATTTTCACAATGATTTAAGATATTTTTAGAGTGGAAGTAGGAAAAATAGGTTATGCATCATGTGGCCAAAGGTTATTATTCACTCGATTGATTGAACGCTTGCTACGGTCGCACTTAATCAATCTCCTGAGTAAAACACACTTTTAGCCACTTGATACTTAAAGTAGTATTATAGAAATACGATTTTGAGACAATTTTATATAAAAACTAGCTTTATCCCGCGGCTTCGCTCGCGTTGAATCTATCAAATAAATATTAGAAATCAATGAAGTTGCTTCCGTACGCGTCTGTAGTCACAGAAGAAGTAACAATGAAGTAGAA